AAAGATGATGTTTTTCCTCTGAGTTGTTATGGTCAACAACGGTGCTTTTCTCCTGTCAGTGAAGGCTAATCGCGGACTACATGCATCCAATTAACTGTGAGTGGTTTTTAGTTTCCTCTATTTCATGTCGTTTTATTACAATTATTCAACCATTTGCTTGAATTTAGTAACACTTTCGTAAGCACATATTTTAGGGCTCTATTTTGATTTTATTTTATTTTATTTTTTTGTTTTTTAATTACTTGTTTGGGACTTATTTGCATTTATTTGAAAAAAATTGGGATTATATTTGAAATTAAATTTTTATTTTATTTTCTTCTTTTCTTTTTGCTTTATTTAATTAGGCGGGTATATTCGCCATTTTCAATCTCTTTATTAAGAAAATGGACAGCAGGTACCTTGTCCTTTAATTTCAAAAGGTGATGGGATTTTACGCAGCATGTTTAATAGGTTGAGGGTTTTGTCCTTTCTTTTTTCCCATATTTTTCCTATTTATTGCGATTTAACAGTGGGACAGACAGAATGTGACGACATTGGGGTATTTAACGAGAAATGTTTGATACATGGACGTTTTGTGATATTTCCAAAAAGTAGGAAGTTTTCGACAGCAAGAACAATAGGTAGGAGTTTGCATTGGAAATACTACATGATATAAAATTATTTTGGGTGACGGGTTTTGGTATTTTGGCATTTTGTTAACTGGGTTGGGGAAGAAGATGGAAGAGGAGTGGGTTTGGTATTCAAAAGGTTAGGATGAGATGGATTAGGGAAGAAGATGAAGTGGGGCGGGGTAAAAAATTTCAGATTTAATTTGTCAAAAAATAAAATGTTTGGGTATTGAAATTATAAATATTATTTTTTAATTTTTGCAATTTTTTATATTTTTAATAGTTAAACTAACAGAGTAGGAAGGTAGTGGGATTTTTCACACAAAATATTTCAAATAGATGGTTTTATGCTGTCAATCCATTGACATACTACTTCATAACCTTTGCCTGCTTTTGTGGAATACTTCCACTACCTTTCATGTGGGCATAGAAACTCCCTAAATCACCCTAAACGTTGCGAAAAATTCCCTTGCCATCCATCTTTTAATTTCTCCATTAAAAGAAAATATCAAGGACATTTTTCTGTCATAGTCTCCACACTCAGACTTTGTTTGATGGAGATTAAAATTAAATTTTTAGTAGATTTTGATAAAAGTTGATGGAAAATGTGGTTGAACAGTTATGGGACTAATGAAATATGTAGTTAATATTGATTGTTTGACTTTGATTTAGATTAAAATTTGATTTTAATCAATACCAAACAGGGGCTCAGAGATTATAAAAAATAAGAAAAAAATTTTGAGCGAGTTTCATTTTGGGATGTGAAAATGGAAGAAATTTGAAGCATGTATATGGAAAAAAATTGTATTTGCTTAAAATACTAGGACTCTATATGATTTTAGAGAGAGAAATTGTTTGTTTTTTTAATTTCATTTTCCCATTTCAAAGGAATGAGCTCGACTCTTTTAAAGCTTAATAAAAGTTAAATTGGGTTTGAAATTGGTATGATTTCAAACTGGAATTGGGATTGGGTATATTTCTTTTTTCCATTTCTCTATTTCCAAGTTTGTTTGAAATTGGGATGTATTTGTATGGAGGAGGAAGAAGAAGACATGTTCAAATGATCGTGTGCAAATTAATCCTGAAATTGGTAAACGTTACATAATACAATTTTAAATTTGATAAACTTTAGAAAATACAACCCTGTATAGGTAAACATCGAGCAAATTAACCCTAAGTCGAAACAAAACATCAACAGCGAAAGAAACCATCAAAACACCAATTCCCCATACAAACCGGCAAACTTTTGCGAACCATAGAATAGAAATCAATACCAACACAATAGACCTTAACCAATAGCAACTGTACGGAGTAAAAAAATTCAACATTACTGACAACCAAGTTATTTCACAAACTCGCATTAAACATTAACATAATTGTCTAAACACCAATTTGAAGAAAAGATGAATGTTCAACTTATCTATATGAAATTTTTAGTACAATAACGTGCTAAGATTTCTTCTGTGTACAAAAAGTGAAAATTTTGTGATGATTTTGGACTTTCTGGTGAATTATTTGGGTTCTACGTGGATTTCTCTTGTTGGTTCCTCTTCCACTTTGTCTTTAAACAAAAAGGATCTTAAATAAATATGAAGTGATGATCAGACAAAAATGAATTTGACCTTTTTAATTTTGGCCTTCAAACTCCCTTTTATCGGAGAATTGACATAAGTGGACCGACAGCAGGGAAATTTTTCGCAATGTTTGTGATTTAGGGAGTTTTACATCAAAATGGTTAGAAGGTATTCCACAAAATAGACAAATGTTACTCGGAGGTATTGTGCCAATTACCCTTCAATTTGGTTACTTGACTCTCTTCATTACGAAATCGTCACCGAGCTTTATGTTTCGTTTCAAGTTGGTCATTCATTATATTTTTGTCATAGCTCGGTTACCAACTTGAAACAAAACAAGAGTAGAAATTTAAAGGTCACTGACTAGAACAGGGAGAGAAGTTGCCTCAGAATATGTCAATATGCTTAACCTCAGGCTTCTTCACTTCCTCCATAGGCACAGACCATAAGCACGCCATTTTCCACTCTAGCTTTAACCTCATCAGTTTTTGCATTACCCGGCAGCCTGAACCAGCGGAGGAACTTCCTGCCGCTCCTCTCTACGCGGTGCCACTGATCCGAAGCACTCTGCATTCTTCATCCTCCGCCTTCACCTTTTCCTTCTTCATTCCCGGAAGATCGACCTTGAAAATGTGGCCTCGGGAGTCTCTTTCCAGTCTATAAGAATACGAGCATTGACGAATGCAGAAGTTTCGCTGCTGGCTGAGCTTGGAACATTGCGCTACTGTGGTTGAGAAAGGGAAGCCCTCAAAGGGGTCCCAAATTTCTAGAGAGGATGGATCGGAAGTGTTGCTTCGTAGGTTGCAAAAGAAGCTTGGAATCAGTGAACATTTTTCTAGCTGGTGTTTTTGTAACAAGGAACAGTGGATCAAGATTGTTTTCTTAAGCTTTTCAAATTTTCTTATGGAATAGAATTTGTTCTGAAGAAAATGGTATATGTTGGAAGTAGAAGACGAATACTGCCAAGTGTTCAATGTTTTAGATCATTGTCGGCTCAAAATAATTTAGTCCAACTCAATGAACAAAGCCTAATGTAAGAGACCGAAAGGTCATGAAAATATTCCTTCACTCTTACTAGATGGACGAACATAAAATATAAATGAATAAACTGAGTTTTACACCAAATTGGTTCAAAAATTGCTTGAAGTTGAAATTTTTGGTGTAATTTCCATCTTTCCCTAAAATTTGACAAGTTGCAACGAAGTTCTATCTTCAGGATTTCGTCGAAGATATTCATCATTTGTGATGTGAATTTTACGTATAAATTATTTTGATGTGCGAATCCTCAATTTTAGTTCACTCTAATATATCATTCTGGTTACTTCTAAAGAGTGCGGAAAATCTGAAAATTCCATTTTATAAATTTGGGGAAACTCTGAAATGTAGAGTGAAATAGGAAGGTTAGTAAAACAGGGTAATGCCTTTCTTTAATGTCCTTTTCCTCATCCAGAACTTGCTCTATGGTAATAGCGCCCCATTCCAGAGATCCCCAGTAATTAAATCTCTCATTAAACTCTACAAGTTTTAAATCCCATAACAAAATTCAAACATGCTTATGTTTTCCTTCTAGATCTCTTTTATATTTGGACAGCATTTCCGTTTCTTGATTGCGTACCCTGTTAATGCTTCTTGTGGAAACTGCTGATGTCTGTTTAATTTCTTGGCCTTTTTGTTTTGTGCAATCTAGGATGATCTTTGTATGTTGTTGTATTGGTAATTAATTGTTCTCATTAGTAACCCTCATCATTTAACATGTTTGGAAAAGCTTAAATCATATTATAAGCTGATCAAACACTATCTACACATGCCGTGAAACCCACAGCTCACAAGTTATAAGTATCAAACAAGCACTTTAAAACTGAACAAGAAAGACATCTTCTGTCTTAGAATTTATTGCTCAAATTGGAACTTAATTGCCCTCTACTAAAACAAATGAGTAAATTACTCTGAGTCTCTGACATTCATATTGATCAAAATCAGAGCGGTGTATACTTACCAAATCTTGAACATTATGGATATATTGTCAAAAGTAACAGGGTTTACAGGAATCACTCGTTGAATTGATTTTCTGTTGGGTTTATTAATTTGTCATGGGGAGCCTACATATGTAATTAATTCTGTATAAAACTATGGGAAGAGTTCACAAATCAAGTTTTAACTTTGACAATTACAAAAATCAGGTGTTAAGTTTCAAA